AAGTATTTGCATTGATTCCTCTCCAGAGAGTTGGACGATACAAAAGTTAAGCGCCGGTCTCAGAGGAATCAGGGTTAGAAGCTGAGGAAGTGAATACATGTCAAGTATCCGATAGTACTTGTATTAAGGAGACTATTAAAGAAACAGCTCAGCATATTATACAAGATAAACTTAGTGAAAAAGATCTAAAAGTAATCTCTAGAATTTTAATTGAAACACCCTCTAACTTCGTCATTACCTTATCCCGTCTCTTTAAGCTTCGAAGAGAATTGTGAACCTTCAATGCCCCAGAAAAAATTATTTCTGCTACATTTAATCCAGAAGTAACCAGATTTCTAATAAAATTCAAAAGGAGCATAGTGATCAATGCAAAGATGAAGGAATTGTTTTTTCAGACCACTTTTCATTAAAATCAGTTACAGAAAGGCTAAATTTGTATGATGTATCTAATATACCTGACAAACAGGCCCTAGCTGATGTAATGATCATGCTCTGTATCCGCCTAGCTAAAATTAAAAACTTGCACATATCTAATAGAGGTGTAACTGGGTATGCAAAAAAAGATACATAGTCACAGAACTGCCATTCCAAAACTACAAATAAATCTTTCTCGAAAGAATATTATAATTATATTTTAGTCAAGTAACCGATTAGAGCTAATATATGCTCCTGTTCTAAAACATCTGTTTTTATGAATGTGTCATGTAAAGCACCTGGTCTATACTTCAAAGGGGTTAAATTCGGCTGATGGAGAAATTTCATAAGTACGCCATTCCTTCAAGCTTTCGTTTCTTTATGTTTCCAGCATAATTTTAATAGCTGATATAAAGTATCATTGCGTAAACTTTCTTTGAGGAAGATTTGGAGTAGACTTATTTTTTTGTTAATCGGCGTTAGTAAACTTCTTTCTGATATAATTTTTCTGATATGATATTTCATGGAAGAAAGACATTCTCTTAATAGTATTAAATCATAAAAAGATGGAATCAAAAGCCTTTTTTCTTTTCAATGCATATAGCCTTCACGTAGCAATTTATTATACATTGACCCATTTATAGTGATCATGCGTCCAGATTTAGAATTATAAATTTTTTCGTGAACTTTACTCTTGGTCTTATGTTCTGCCAATTGGCCTGATGTATTCATAGTATAAGTATGAAATGGTATATAAAATATAGGTAAGTATTAGATTAATCTGTAGTATTCAGATTATATATTATGAAAAAAAGTTCAATTCGAAAAATTTTCTCAGAGCTATGCTTCTTCAGAAAGAGGAATATTAGAGACAGTTCTTGTCTAGGTTAAGAGAATGATAAAATATTATAACTTATATGGGTGGTCCCTTTAGGACCCACCTGCTCTGGCCAGAAATAGGTTTTACAGAATTTGAAATCTGCAGGTAGATAAGATAAGCAAAAAAAATAACTATGAAACCCTCATTCCAAAGCTATAAACAAACTTAAGGTCTAAGACCTATTTTGTAATCACATTTTAATAAAGTGCTCGTGCTAGAGCTAATATATATTTTGGTCCTAAAACATTTGCCTCGGTGAATGCATCATATAAAGCACCCGTTTTATATTTCGAAGAAGCTAAATCTGGGTGATGGAGGAATTTTATAAGTATACCACTTCTCCATTCTTGTGTTTTTTTACTATTCCAGTTGGTTTTTAATAACTGGTTTGTAGCACTATCATTATATACTTTGAGTAAAATCTGTAACAAACTTAATTTTCCATTAATTAACGTAAGTAGACTTTTTTCTGGATCATCCGCGATTTCAATAGATATAAAATAAAGGTATTCTCTCAATTTTGGCATTTAATTGAATGGTGGAATCAAGAGACTTTCCTCTTTCCAATACATATAGCCTTCACATAGCAATTTTTTATATGCTGATCTATTTATAATGATCATGTAATTAGTTTTGGAATTATAGATTTTTTTGTGAGATTTATGATCTAATATATCCATAGCATAAGTATGAAAAGTCATTTATGACTTAACTTAATATCAAATAATTTAAATACACATTTTATTATAAAATTAAAAGTGAAGAGGGTTTTATATCCTAATATACTTATATGGATCGTGTTACTTACTGGTATATCAAGAGAGACAGTTCTATTTGTGGAGGAGTCTGTACTCGTACTACTGGTTGTTCAAGGCACTGGAAATTATATGAAAAAAATATGAAAAAAAGACCATATCTTGTTTATGAATTTCCTACTGATGCTGATTCAGGGTATTGCTCCAAATATTGTTCTAAATATTCTACAAAGTTTCATGCAATGAATTATCAGATGAGGCAGAAGTATGGGTGTACAAAAAAATAATAATATAATCTACGCTCTGACTAAAAAAAGGTTTATATCGATTTAAAATATGCAAGTAGTTTAGATGAGTGAGAAAATATAGCCTTGTAATTCAGCTTATATTAGATAGCAAATAGCAAAATAAAAATAATAATTTTTTAGAATTTTATATCGCCTAGTTGTAAAGAATATAAACTGGCTTCTTATTCACTCTTTACCAAAGTATACTATTCTCCTGGAGTATACTTATTGTTTTTTTCTATTTTTCATCGATGTCGAACCTACTATAGGTAACCATTCTCTTGAAGTACGCTAATACTTTTTTGTCACTCCTCATCATCATAAATATATGCCCAGGATTTTCCAGCATCCTCAAGGTTACAGAGATATATTTCTTCACTTATTAGCCTTTCTCTTCTGGACATGTATATCTCATTTATGTCTATACCATCTTCTTTTGCAAATTCGATGGCATCTGCATCTGACATCATCCTATCTCGATATTCCCAGGATAATCTAACGTCTTTTTCTGTGATGGTTACAAATACGTCTGGGTTCTCACTATGATTGATAGCCCATTTTCTGAGGTGCTTTTTACACTGAGTTCAGGTCAAAAGTATAGCAAATGATACTTCATTGATAGGCTTGAAAAATCAGTTTTTTTAGGAGATATATCTAGCACTTCACTTATAGGCTCAATAGATTCAGGTGACTTACTATCTTTGGGCTTTTTATTTACTGTTTCGGGTGGTTCAGAACTCTCAAAAGTCCCAGATGTTGAAGCGACTAGAGCTTCGGCTTGTTGAGACTGGGCTGTTTTTGAGAGTGTAATTTCTGGCACATTGAATATAGGTATGTCTGCTATCTCATTTTCCGGTAAGTCAGGCTGAAGTGTATCAGAAAATTCTTTGATATCATCTAGGCCAGACTCATGGAGCTTAGCTATGATTTTGGTATGATCAAGAATATAATGGTATTCTTTTTTTCCATTATTCTGCAAACGTGTTCTATTAATACTAATTTGTGAAGACTTCTTTTCAAGAATAGCACTACTAAATGGTTTCTCTCCATTTTTTCCACACCATTCAAGATATTCTTGATATAATTCCACACAGTTTAGTTTATCAATCATTCCTTCAGTCCGTGAGAAAACATAATTGATAATGAATCGAATAGGATTAGGGAGTTAGTTTCGCATTGTTTTTACTCTCATTTTTGTATTTGGAATATTTTGTGGTATCCAATCTGAGAGGTCTCATTTTAATAAATAATTCATAAAAATATCAGTTGTTTTTAAATTATCTAAAATTTTTCCTAAACGCTTAAAATATTCTATATTTCCTTTATAACAAGATGATACATCTAGATATACAATACGTTCATCACCTATTTCAACATGAAGTGGTGTATCATGATTGCTTAAAACCATATACCCGGCAAAGTCTTTAATTGTCTTAGGCTCAAGTCCTTTATACTCTATCATCACATATAGTTCAATAATAAGTGATTTTAAGTGATCATTTGCCTTATGCTATTCCCCAGAAGCCATCCCAGCTTTATTTAAAAGAATGAGTTTTCATACTTGTATATAGCTATTAAATCTTTCTAATACTTTTCCAAGATCCGATGTTGCAAAGAATAATTCTGGCCCCAATACTTTCTTTCCTATAAAGTCTGTTAAAATATTTTTTTCCAAACGTGGAGGGGAGCGCAATACTAAGACTGTACCAGGTTTTTTCTCAGGATACTGTACAAGATATGAGAACCAATTGAGAACATATTCTAAAAGAACTTTATTCCCACTACATCAGACATTTTCTATATGTCAGATAATCGGATCGATGATAGAGGAATTAATTTCATTAACAGAAGCTTTGAAGCCCAAAAAGAGGTTAAAAAACTTTGTTTTCAGTGTGAAACAAAGTGGTAAGTAAAAGAGAAAATCAATGCCTCGATATCGAATTAGACCTTTTGTGACTGCCCGATCTATTAGATTTGTTAATTTCACCACTTCTCTCCCTAGTTCAACTAAACTAATTTCATATTTGACAATATCTAGTTTAGGTGACATTTTAAAGAAAAGACTATCATCAGAATCCTCAAGTTTTAATACCCACAATTTTATATTAGTCTGGATACATGCTATTGTTGCTTGGATTGCTTCATATACAGCATTGCAAGAAACTTTTTCCCCCAATGAGCATATATCAATTAGGTCACCCTATACGAAGTGATTATTGGAATCTGAAATTCTGGATTGGTTTAATTTTATAGGACTTGGAAGCTTTTGTTTTCGATCCAAGGCAGTTTCACTAATAATAAGTTTTATTGAAGGATTTCTTGTTCCAGGTTCTCGATTCTGATTGGCATGATGACAATAAAATCTGTATGATTTTTTATTTCATATAATTTATGCATTTTCATTTGTATGCTCCTGATCACATATTAGGCAGTGTGATAGAGAGTTGCGTGATAAAGGGAACAAATCAGAAGTATTATCTAAAGGGAATGAGAGAGTAAACCCTTTGATAAAATTTTCTCTGAGTAATATTTCCACAAAATCAAATTCAGCCTAAGCGCTTTCACCATCTGTATTATTATTTCTCTTTTGGCATCTTTCCACTTCCAGTTTTGGGACACATAATAGAGGACTGTCAATGACTTTTAATTCATCACTGGGTGGGCGGATCATGAAGTTAAAGATAGTTCTATCTTTTGGATAGACAGCTCTTTTTACACGAATATGTTTTTTTGTTTCTTCCCTATACTTGGGTAATCCAAGCATCCGCAAGGAGAAAGACCTTTTATTTGCAATATTATCAATAATACTTTTCTTCTGTAATCCTACCTAGAGTTTTTTGTAAACAAGTTCAGTGAATACTGCGACCTGAACAATGTTCTTAAGCCTCATACCAGTAGTAGAGATGTGGAGAGATATTTTTTTTGCATCACTACTAGTAGCGATGGTTATACTTTTTTATCCCACTTCAGATGTATTTCTAGACAAACATCTCTAAAGGCTATTTGAATAGCTTTACAGGCTTCTTTACATGAAACTTTAGGAGTAATAGCATTTAGTGTTTCTATTGGCAAATCAAAATCTATGATAGGATGAAGTGGCTCATCGCCACCAATAAATTTGTGCAATGAATAGCCTTTACGGTCTGAGAGTATGGCTTCAATACTATCTTCATTGTCTGTGCCTAGAAAATTCTTTGGTTTAATACTATCATCATGAATTTTATATAAGCATACACCTATATCAGAAGCTCTTAACCCACAATAGTATGGGGCGGGGCTGTTCAAATTCTCTGAAAGCTCGGATTGAGTCATGGTATTTTTAGATAACTTTTAAAAGGTATACTATATCCTAAATACAAGATATATTGTTCTGGGAAAAAAGTTTAAATAAAAAATAATTATAGAAATTTAAGAGATATTTAATGAGAGTCGAATTTATCTGCCAATATATTTCTAACGAAGGGAACGTATATGGGCGGGTTTGTAATTGACAAGAAGGATGCAAAATCTATTAGAAAAGGCGTCAGCAAAACCTTTGCAAACAGTATAGAAAAGCCACTGCGTTGATATATAGAATATGTAATTTATATGCAGATAAGTATTATTCAAAAATATATTATCATAAGAAGAAACTAAATGCCTTAGAAAAATCTGCCTTAGTGATCTAGAAAAAATCTGCTCTAGAAAGTTTTTGACTTCCAGAGGCAGAAGAAAAATAGCAAATTAACTTTATTGAGTCACTAGAATGGTTTCTCAAACACTCTGCCTTAGGTGCCTTAGGTGATTTAAAAAAAATCAGACTTCTTTACTTTTTATTTTTTATTTTTTATCTATGGGTATAGTGAAAATATAGTATATATATAGCATATATATAGCATATATACAGCATACCGATATATATACCAAAAAGATACTATAGAAAAAACTCATTTTTTTTTCTTTAGAACTTTATTTTTTATTAGGGCACCTAAGGCATCTAGAGAAGATAATACAGAAACAAGTCAAAACGAAAAAAGAGCACTTTCTTCTATAACTAACTCTGCCTTAGGAAGTGGTCCAGTAAAATTTCTAATATTTTCTTAGGACAGAACTACAATGTGCGCACTTTTTAATAATCAAATGGTTAGCCATAGTAATACCTATCACAACTCTAATCTCTAACTAACTGACCACCAAACTAGAACCTCAAAAGTTACTCAAAAGTGCACAGAACCGAAGGTGCAGAAATTTTTTGCTTAATTTCGGCCAGCACTATTTCATAAATTCAGCCAGAACTTTGGATACAATAACTCATTAATCAAGAAATAATCTGAAACTAGTGAACTAATAGAACCTTTCTGGTTCCTTACCAGTTTTCTGCCAGTACCATGATAGTTTTAAATACTATCGGGTTACTATTATGGCGCCAAGTTGGATTCTCAAATTACATGTCCTAAAGATCAGCCAGAATTATGGTATAGTGTTGGCCGAAATTAATTATGAATTTACTACACCACCCGACACATATTTTTTTTTGTATTTAATAGGCAACAAAATAGGCACAAAAGGTAAGTATCTTAATATAGAATCAAGTACCTAGACCGGCACAGAGGGCCAGCACCTCAACATAGAACCAGGCATCCAAACAGGTATAGAAAGCCAGTATGAAGAATATAGAATTTGTCGTGTAAATAGATTAGGAACAAGAAGGAAATAGCAGTATTAAGATTATATGATGGTAGTTAGATTAAATAGTGGGTGGTAGTTCAATTATATAGTGGTGAAAAATATAAATACTGTATCAGGAAGGGATTTAAAGAATAGCTAGAATATAAAATAGATACCTGATATAGGAAAAAATATAGATTAAATAATGGTTATTAGATTATATTATTCAGATTTTATAGTAGCAATTAGATTATATTATTTAGATCATATAGTGGTGTTCAGATTATATAGTATTATTCAGACTATATAGGGATATCTAGATTATATAACGTTATTCAGATTATATAATGGTATTTAGATTATATAGTAATACTATAATCTAACTTAAGTGGGATACCACCTGTAATATAATTATATTACAGGTGATATTCTACTAAGGTGATTGTACTAAGTGAAGTAGAAAAAATATAAACATTACTTATTATGTTTATATTTATTTATACTCATATAGAAGAATTAGATGAATTTGCTATACAGTATTTTGTATTTAAAACATTTAGACTTGTGCAGAGAAATTAGATGTTTATGCAGAAGAAGTAGGTATTCATATAGAAGAAGAAGGTGTTTGTGTGAAAGAAGAAGTCATTCGTGTGAAAAAAGAAGTTGAACTTGTATTGCTTTCTTGTATAATATCTTTGTATAATCTAAAGTATTCTTTTGTATAATTTTGTATCACCTAAGGTCATGTGAGGTCATGTAACTGCGTCACACTTCTAATAGCTAATTAGAATATTTTTATACAATTACTATAAAATATACTATCTAAATATATAATAACTAATATATAATAATAAATACTATTTTAACTAGATATATAAAAATACAATTATCAAATATTTATAACTAAAAATAACTAAGTAAAATTCATACTAAAATCTATTTTGTAACAATATATACAAAAGTTATTTTAGAATAATAATAACTTTTATAACAACAAAAAAAATACAAAATTAAAAATTCATTACAATAAAAGCAATTAAAAATTGATTTTGTAGATAAAAGAAAAAAAAATTAACAAATTAAATGTGATTTAGATAATAAATAAAACCAAAAAATTATATTTTAGAACAAGCTATAT